AAGATGTTCAAGGATTGGCCCAAGCTTTTCCATAAGATGTTGAGTGTAGGCACCCAAACATCCCACGTAATTGGGCACTTTAAGGCCTAGAACAGAGTTGGAATAGGATTTCTTAGCCAAGAAATCTATCTTTTTCCCCTCCTTGTCTGCCAGGGAGGTGGAGGTCTTTGATGGGGAGACATACTGTGCACCTTCTACGATGTCTGAATTTTGATGAGGATAGTCTGTCATCCATGCCGGCTTAGGTTCAGCGATTCGATATAAATTGTCCATGTGCCTCGAAGTGTGTGAGGTAGATGTTGGTACCTCCCAAGATCTTTTCAAGATTTTAGCCAGAGACGGCATGTAGGGAATAGCCGGCCTGTCAATTATTCTGCTTTGAACCCACTTTTCCAGTTGGTCAGAGGCCTCTTCCTCTTCGGGTTTGGCGACCTTCAGGTCAAGAGCGCAAGCTATCCGAAGGATTTGGTCCGCAAAGGCACGAGCATCATCCAAAGGAGAAGAAGACTGGGTATTCAGGGGTGGCCTGGTTTGGGTGGGAGACCAGTCCAGATCCTCATCAGATTCAACCACTGGATCTGGTGAGATGGAATGGTACGACAGGGTAAAATCGGGAGACGAGGGGCGACGTGGATTTTTACGCTCACCTCTTTAGACGCTGGCTTCTAGTTGGAGGCGACGGACTGGGATATGGGGATCAATGTTTGGATACAGAAGAATGACGATGGGATGCAGAAGACTGATGTCTTTGAGGAGTTGAAGGCGATGAGGGTATAGCCCTCTGTTGATGGGAATCACTGGAATGATAACGGCATCGGGATGGACCAAGTGATGGAGACGGAGAAGGTGAGACGGAACGGCGCGTCAGGACCGGAGAGGATGGGGGCTGCTGTGCTGCAGGAAGACAGTGAGAGGATGGTACTGGAGAAGGAAGGGGCTGCTGTGTAACAGGAAGAGGATAAAGTCTCTGAGCCAACGCGGGAAGAGACTGCTACATAGCAGGAAGGAATTGGAACTGACGCCTCTGTTCTTCCATGAGACGCAACTGCTCGGGCTGGACAGGGAGCAGGTAGCTGTTGGAAGCTTCATTATAGACCAGTTGCAGGAACCCGGAAATCCACGGGTCTGAAGCTAGTTCGACTGCAGGCTGTTGCTGCATATGTCCTGAAACAGATGTAGGAGACGGATCACCCTTGGACCCGATATTGCGGGTTGGAGACGGGGAGACGGTGGAAGGCATAGCTATATGTGGCGTCGTGGTTGGAGGCTGTTGTATTTCCGCCTTGGACTCGGTGTCAACACACACCATCGGAGTGGTCAGTTTCGACATAGACGGGCCCATGGTCGGTACCAACATGGTCGTTGGTGGACCAGCGGAGCGTGGTAACAACAGGGTTTTAAGATTCTCCCCAAATCTCAGAGAACATCGGCTGTTCCCCATCGGTGCAGTGATGGGGGGATGCCGAACGGGCTTTCTTGATGGACAAAGGAGCTTCCTCAATGGTCTCCAAGTGCTTGCACTTGGAAGACCTCTTTCCACCCCTTTCCAAGTCCTTAGGACTCACGCTCTCCTTGTGTCCGGATGACCTCTTAGATCTCTCCCTCGATCTTCCCCTTTGTCGAGGGGGATCCGAGGAAGGCTTGGAAATGACTACGGTAGCCAGGGCCGTGGCCGACGACTCGGCCTGCAAGGCCTTCTCCCATAGTGCTGCCATCAATCTGACCATCCTATTCTTCAAAGCCTGCGGAGTCATTTCCTGCACATTTCGCAAGTTGTGGGATTATGAGTATCCCCGAGGCAGAAGATGCACTCATCATGTTGGTCAAAGGTCAGAAACTTAGAGTTGCATGAAATGCAATGCTTAAAGGAAGCCATGTCGTCGAGTTGAAGGGGCAAGATGAAGGCCAAGTCGAGGAACAGTCCGAGTGAAATCACCAAATTCAGGAAAACGCCAAATTGAAGGAGTGAGACGAAGGCAAAATTGATAGACGGTCCAAGTCAAATTTGTTAAATTAGTAAGTCACAATCCGAAGAATAGTCAAGTCGAAACGTGGTCAGAGCCGTTAGGTCGATTAACTGCACTAGTAGCGAGGTTGCTTGCTAGCTGCAAAAGCGGCGGACGAAAGGAACTGAGGAGCGAGCGGGAACGTGGGGCTTATATAGAGGTGGGCGGAGCTACCTCCAAAAAGTTGCAATCCAACTTCTGCCTAGTGATTCTAGAAGGTTCCAAACTAGCTGCGCATGCGCAGATAAAACCAATTTGTGTGATTCACAGAGACTACGAAGAAGAAATAGATAAAATAAAACAAAATGTCACTTGCAGGGAATAATAGCCTACTTCACACAGAACAGTTGTTATGCAACTCTAGCAAAAATGTCTGCAGGTCCATGTAGAAGGGTATAACTCTGTGCTCAAGCCTATATTTATCTTTAGGCAAAGAATGAACACAGCCCATGTTGTGCCTGATACCTTTTGGGTGACAACTCATACTTGGGGAGACAAAAAAGATCAAGCTAATGGCTACTGACAGTCACATGACATGATAACAAATCCAGAAACAAGTCTGAATAAACTGTGGGTTCCTTTTCTGGTTTGTAGGGGGAAAGAGTGGCAGCTGTACCTGGGTCTGTTCAACAAAAAACTCTGTAGTTTGTTAAGTCGATCCCACCTGAAGTAGGAATGATCAAGCAGCATGCAGCAGCATATTACTTATTCATGGTAATCCAAGTTTCCTGCAGATCATGCAGATATCCAGAAATAATTCATTTTTTTAACACTGCCCAATTTTAAACATTACCAGTGATTATAGGCTGAGAAATTTAAAACAATCATTATATAACAAAGTTGTAAGTATATTTATCTAAGAACATTTCAGACATTATTTGGTTTAATTATCCAACCAATTTTATATTTCATGATACTTCTGAAGACTTTTTGGTATCTTGGCATCAACTGTTGTTCATAAAATAAAACAGATTCATCTTGCCTTCACAAAAAGCAAAGGTTCTTGAGCTACCACCACCACCCTTACTGACAACTGCAGCAATCTTGTTAGCAGCACCCTTTGTTTTCAGTTTGCATATACAGAAGATAAATGTCACATTCACAAGTTTTAAGTATATTCATACTACCATTTGGTGGTGAACACTTTGGGCCTTGACAGACTGCCAGAAACAATGCAGCTTGAATCCACTTTAACTGCCCTGGCTCAGTGCTAGGGAATCATGGAAACTGTAGCTTATTGTTGCACCAGAGCTCTCTGACAAGACAAGACTTAATGTCTTAGAAAAAAACTACAATTCCCATGATTCCCTAGCACTGAGCCAGGGCAGTTAAAGTGGACTCAGGCTGCATTATTTCTGGCAGTCTGTAAAGGCCCTTTGTTACTTGCACGTTTATCATGACAGTAGTGTTTTTGTTCAGGGCAAGATTATAATATAATGTAATAAACAAACCTTAGCTTGTCCATTGTAATCATCGTCTAAAAAGTTTGAAGAATTTGGAAGAGTAATACCACGGAAGAAACGGGAAGATCTCAAGTACCGCTGGAAACTCAGTAACCTTCGAATATTTCTTGCAGACACAGAAACTTCAATTTCAGAATTTGCTGGGGGGAAATAAAGAGCTTTAAGATGCACAATCCTTCCATTAAAAACATTACAAGCTAGATCTAGGAGGAAAATGTTCATTTAAGTTAAAAGTGAGGATCCTTCACACTCCAGATTTTGCTTAATTACAATCTGCATCATTTCTTACAATTAGCCTTGTTGTCTGGTGCTGCTGGGAACTGGTCATCATCAACTAGTCGAGGTGGAACCATTTGACCTTTCAAATTTCGTTGGACTGCACCTCCCATAATTTCTCACCACTGGCTATGATCACTTGTGCTGTTGGGGTCTCAAAGTGCATAATCATTATTCTCACCCCTGATGTGCTGTGCCACCAAGTTCCTGTTCATAGACTTCCCATAGGTATCTGATGCATACTGTGGAAAGAGATTGCTGAGCTAGATAGGCCTTGGTCTGACCCTCTATGGCTTTTGTAGTATAATTTTTTATCTTCCCCATCCCTGAATTAAAGCTTTCAGTTCTATATGGCATCACACAGATTATGCTAACTGGTTCTGAAATAAGAAAATATAACTGAAAGTAGTAATGAGGATTTAGGTTTAGTTTCTGAAGTGCCTTTCAGCAGCCTTTCACTAAAAGAAGGGGAGGGAGGAAATGTTTGTGAATTTCCTTTCACCCCAATTTCCACCTCATCAACACCCATGCTATTTTGAAAGTTCTCCTAGGCCTTAGAAGGAAATATCCAGTAAATGTGAGGGTCTGAAGGAAGAGGAACTAATGGAAACCATTTCCCATCCTTCTATTAACAGATGCCAGGATCACACCTTCAATGAACAGAACAAAACTTGTGGGATCTTATTAACTCTTAAATGTTAAAATTGTCAGAACAATTCTAAAGGTTTTTAGGATTATAATTTTGGAAACACAACATACTACAATTGCCAGGTGATTTTAATTATATGATTATCATTCAATTGCAAAACCCAATTAGAATCAAAATTGACTTTAAAACCAAAGGCAAAGATATCAGTTTCTTAGTATTAAAGCCTCACATGGAACAATTACCAACATGAAGCAACTGAAAATACAAGAATCCAATGGAATGATTCCTTTAAATGCTCTATACTAGATTTATTTACTAAATATTATTCTGTTTTATTTATCAGTTTTGTTTTACTGATTTCCACATTGTGAACTGTTAATTTTGGCTAGCTGTTGTTGTGTACCGTTAAGTCATTTCCAACTTACTTCAACCCTAAAGTGTATCTATCACAGGGTCTTCTTGACAAGATTTGTTCGGGGGGGGGGTTGCCTTTGCCTTCCTCTGACACTGAGAGAATGTGACTTGCCTGAGGTGACCCAGTGGGTTTCCATGGCCAAGCAGGGATTCGAACCCTGTTCTCCAAAGTCGGAGTCCAACCCTCAGACCACTAAATTACTGTAGACCCTTATTATCCGCTGGTTCCAGGATCCCCTGTGGATAACAAAATCTATGGATGCTCAAATCCCATAAAATATAATGGCATAGTAAAATGGTGCTCCTTACATAAAATGGAAAATCAAGCTTTGCTATCTGGAATTTATACTTTTTAAAATATTTTCAAAACATGGATGCTTGAATCCATGGATAAAAAAGCTGTAGATACGGAGGGCTGACTGTACACTGGCTCTCTAATTTTGGCTACTGTGTGTGTTAAATGTTGTGGCTGCAGCCTTCAGCGTATTTTAGAGAAAGATTGGGTAGAAATGCTGAAAATGAAATCAGTATCAGAGCTTCTCAAATAACTACACATTTTCATGTGCGAACAACTGTCTGCAATCTATGTTTTCATTCTTCATCAAAAAATGAAGAATTTTACTTGTTCTTGTTAACTGCCCTCAAGTCGATCTCGACCTATGGCAACCCTATGGATGAGACATCTCCAAGACCCTCTGTCCTCCACTGCTCTGCTTAAATCCTGCAAACCCATACCCATGATCTCCTTAATGGAGTCCATCCATCTTGGCATGTAGCCTTCCTCTCTTCCTACTTCCCTCCACCTTTCCCAGTATTATTGTCTTTTCTAATGAGTCTTCTCTTCTCATGATGTGTCCAAAGGATGACAGTTTCAGTTCAGTCATCTTGGCTTCTTCCAGGGAGGTTTCCAGTTTGATCTGTTCTAGGACCCACTTGTTTGTCTTCTTAGCTGTCCACAGGGCCCTCAACACTTTTCTCCAGCACCACACCTCAAAGACGTTGATTTTCTTTCCTTACTGTCCAGCTCTCACATCCATACATGGTAATAGGGAATATAGTGGCTTGAACGATTCTAACTTTTGTGCTGAGTTGTACATCTTTGCATTTAAGAATCATTTCTAGTTCTTTCATAGCCACCCTTCCCATTCTTAGTCTTCTTCTGATTTACTGACTGCAGTCTCCATTTCTATCAATGTTTGATCCCAGGTATGGGAATTCTTTTACTATATTTATTTCTTCATTGTCTAGTTTGAATGTGTGTACTTTCTCTGTGGTCATTATTTTTGTTTTCTTTATGTTCAACATTAAGCCTGCCTTTGCACTTTCTTCTTTGATCTTCCTTAGTAGATGTTCCAGGACTGTGAGGTTTTCTGCTAGTATTATGGTGTCATCTGAGGATGCAACCTTGTCTGTCTCCTTTGCTAACTGATAACCATTCTGTTTCTTTGTGTTCTGTTCTGACAGTAACCTCTTGTCCTGAGTACAGGTTCCTCATCAGGACTATCAGATGTGTTGGCACTCCCATGTCTTTAAGGGCATTCCAAAGCCTTTCATGATCTATGCAGTCAAAGGCTTTGCTATAGTCTATAAAGCACATGCTGATTTTCTTTTGGAATTCTCATTAACCATCATATGTTTGCAATGTGGTCCCTAGTGCCTCTTCCTTTCCTGAACCCCGCTTGGATCTCTGGGATTTCTCTCTCCATGTATGGTTGGAATCTATGTTGCAAAATTTTGAGCATAATTTTTCTTGCATGGGAGATCAGTGCTATGGTCCTATAGTTGCTGCAGTCTCTTGTGTCTCCCTTTTTGTGGATGGGGATGTATATTGATCGCTTCCAATCTGTTGGCCATTGGTTTTTTTCCATTTTTGTTGACATATGTTGGTCAGTACTAAAGCTGATTCTGTCAATGTGGATTGCAGGAATTTTACTCTAAAATTCTAATGCCACCATACTTACATATGAACCCCTTTTACTTTTAGCTCTTCATATAGTGGTTTGCAAACCTCAAGCATGCTCCTGACAATGTGTTAAAGTTGATCTACTAAAGCTATTCAAGGCCAGTAAGATATGTTGCCTTCAGACTGTAATTTCTCATCTTTTCCTAAACTTTCTGTTTTAGAGGCTATTTTGAAATTGTAATAGGACTAAATTTATCACCTTGGCCTAAAGATGACATGATCCTCGCCAGAAAGAAAAGGCAGTTTTGTTTTTCAGAACCTAAGGCTAGAAACATTCTCTTCCTTTTATTCTAGAACAAACTTTTAGAAGAGTGAATGAAGAGAGAAACAGTTGCTTCTGTTCCAATAGCAAAGAAAAGACTGCTGGGTTAATTAGTTTAAGATCTATCCAAATGACACCTATTTTTTCTGGGTTTTTTTCAGAGTGTGCCTCCGTGTGAAAGTCTGTGATGGGCTGATTGTTCCTTGGTAGATGACCACTCACTGTTTTAAGCTGAATATGAAAAAAATTAAGATCTTGGTGTTTCAGCCTGACTATCCAGAAGCCCCTCTTTCATGCCCTCCGCTGTGTTTAGAGTTGCCCAGTAGCTCCTCTTCCAGCTGCCAGGAACCTCAGAGTTGTGCTTGATTACTGTTTGTTCCTGTGCCCCTTTATCAGGATGACAGCAAGGACATGTAATTTTCATCTTTTGAACATTTACAGGATTAGTAAGTTCTTGACAGTTGAGATTTCTGCTTGTCTAGGCTTTCATTATATCATGCTTGGATTATTGCAATAGTTTACTGGCAAGTTTGCCTTCTTGCTTTCTTCTTCCTCTGCTTTCACTTTAGAACACTGCCACCCAGGAAATCCAGGCAAGGGCCAGTTTTAAACTTCTAGGTTCTTGTATTTAGGGTTCTGCACTCTAATCTTTCCTAGTACCTGGCAGCTCAATTAGCATGATATGCACCATCTAGGAATTTAAGATCTACAGGCAAAGGATTATTGTCTGTTCCACCAACATGCACATTTTTCTGTCAAGGCTACAAGCCTTTCAAGATCTGACTCCACAGCTATGGAATCTTCTTCTGGACTTCCAGATGGAGGAGGAACTCATTCATTTTCGTAGGGAGTTGAAGACCTTCCTCTTTTATTTGCCAGATTAAGCTGCTGAGTTGTGGCTGAAATGAGTAGCAGCTGGTGGCATGTTGGGGGATTTATGTATATTATCTTGGTCTTTCATTGTATATATCTGATGTTCTGCCCTTTGGTGAGAAGGCTGTTACAAATAAATATCAGCATCATTTTTATTATTATTTTCAAACAAAAAAATGGGAAAGAGAACATTATAAAAATAATGCTCAGTGAGTATGAAATAGATGCTCAAGGAAAATGAAGGAAAAATAAAAAAAAGGGTGGGAAGAGGGTATGAACTGGAAGCTAACATGTCAGAAATATATCAATATTTGGATTAAAAATACTTAAAATAGGTGGTGTTTTAAATATACAAAGTGGTGCTTTAAAGATACAAATTCATATATTCTAATATCTTTCTTTCTTATTTCTGCTTCAGGTCAGAAGCAGATATTTAACAAGGATGATGTATTTGCAAGAGTTCCGCTCTGTAAATTTTGCTAACATATGTGGGGGGGGATGTATCTGCCCCATGTCCAGACACCTTTTAATCCTGCTCCATACAAAAAGTTACACACTTATAGTGCTAACAAGCAAACAACTGTATCTGGCCATCTATCGCCACTGAAAACAAGCTGTGATCCTTAAGCACTCAGTTACTTTCACAATTCTCTAGTAAGATATATAGACTTATAGAATCATAAAGTTGGATGATACCACAAGGACCATCCAGTCCATCCCTGTCATGCAGGATATACACAATTACTGTGAAATGCTAACAGGGTGGAGAAAAGGCAGAAGCACTCAACACCTTACTATGCCTCAGTCTTCTCACAAAAGGAAAGGGTGCTCAACCTGAAGAAAATGGAGATGATGATGAAGTAGGGGAAATGCAGCACAGAATAAGTCCAGTTCTGGGCACCACAATCCAAAAAGGATGTTGACAAGCTGGAGCATGTCCAGAGAGGGCGACCAAAATGGTGAAAGGTTTGGAAACCAGGCCCTATGAGAAATTACTTAGGAAGAAGGTTAAATAGTCATATGATAGCCCTGTTTAAATATATGAAGGGATGTCTTATTGAGGCTGGAGCAAGCTTGTTTTCTGCTGCTCCAGAGATTAGGACACAGAGCAATAGATACAAAAAGATCCCACCTCAACATCAGGAAGAACTTCCTGACAGTAAGAGCTGTTTGACAATGAAATACACTCCCTCAGAGTGTGGTGGTGTCTTCTCTGCAAATTTTTAAACTGAGGCTGGATGACTATCTCTCAGGAGTGCTCTGATTGTGTATTCCTGCATGACAGGAGATTGGGTTGGGTGCCCCTTGAGGTCTCTTCCAACTCTATAATTCTATGAGTCTATATTTATTATTAGAATACTTATATCCCACTCTGTATTACAAGATCTCAGAGTGGTGCACAGATAAAGCTGGAAAAAGAATAATTTAAAGATATAAAATGATAAGAAATCATTCAAGTCTATAAACATATTAAACAATTTAAGAATTCAAACAAATTAAAAATGTTTAAAACCATATACAGTTGGCCCTCCACCTCTGTGGCTTTGACTTTTACAGATTTGATTATTTGATTAGTAGGTATTTCTCTGTAGAAATCTCTAGGTCTTCCAGCATGACTCTGCAAGAAGTTGATTCATGCTGGAAGACCTAGAGATTCCTAGGGAAAACACTTCTCTAGCCATTTGTAGGTCTCCCAGCATGATCCTGTGGTCACTTTCTGGTGGTTTCTGATAGATGTTGACCATAGAGTTGCACTGGAGGACCAAGAGATTCCTAGGGAGGCGTTATCTCAGGTAAAAAAAAAATAGTGGTTATTTTTTATTTAATTATTTGATAAATTAATTTTTATTTGCAGTTTTTTCACTTTCATGAGGGTCCTGCGCCCTGAACCCCAGTAATTGTGAAGGGCTCACTATACATGTACAAATTTGAGCAAAAAGGTTAGACCTCACAGGCTTTTCTAAATAGTCATGTTTTAACTTTACTCTGGAAGAAAGCCAGCATAATTACCAGTAAGGCTTCCCAAGGAAGGCATTCCACACTCCATATCCAGGGTTTCCCAACACAGACAGCCCTCTCCTATAACCTCACACAGTATTTCTCCCAGTGGT